CCCCCCCCCCCCCCCCCCCCCCCCCCCCCCCCCGCGTCCTCCCGGCATCGCTCTGTGAAATCCTGGCTCGTCCCCGCCTCGGCTCCGTCGCCACCCGCATCTCGCCCCTTGAGCCCCCGCGATGCTCCCGCCGGTGCGGCCGCCCCTGCACCGCGGCCCCCCGCCCAGCGGGGGGATGCTGGGGGGCACCGGCTGCGGGGTCCTCTGGGGCTCTCCACGAGCCCCCTGTAAATCCCCCCTCCTCGCTTTGCCGGGGGTGGGGGAGCGCTGCGGTTCCGGCATCCGAGTAGGGCTTATCTTTGGGAACCTGTTCCACCCTGCCTCCAGCCCCTGGGGGCTTCTTGTTAGGAAGGGCTGTTTGCCTTTTTTTAATAACAATTTTCAGCCCTAACGGAGTAGCAGTGACTTCAGTGCCTGACCTAAATATCCACTACTTTTCTGTTTGCTCTTTCCCTCTTAGAAATGAGGTGCATGGAGGTGAGAGCGAAAGAGAATTTTTGCTGAGGAAGGAGAAATCAGTTGGTTTCTCTCGCAATTTAAAGTGAATTGTATTTTCTATTAAGGGAAGATTTTCAAGGCATCTCTGGCTGGGTGGGTTGTCGGGACTATGCCCCACTCAACGTCTTGTTCTGTGCCACGAAATCTAAACCCTAGACAGACTAATGCAAAATGGCCCAGAATGAAAACTTGGGAAAGAGTCTTGATTTTGCATATATTCCTGGCACTGCGACGGGGCAGGCTCGCACTCGGTGTGTGTAGGGGAAAGTCAGCTGAGCTGTGCCTGTTTCTGCTAGCAAAGGATTTGCCCCATTACTTCCAGTGGGGCTGCAGAGCAGTATTTTAGAGCCAGCATCTGTCCCTTGGTATTTTGGATGGCTTTTGTCCAGTGTCATCTGCTTTTGCCTTCTTCAGTTTCATCGTTGTTAATTCAGGTGGCTGAAGTCCTGGGGAAGGTCTGTAAGCATTTGTATAACGAGTACTAAAATGTGTTCATTCTGAATTTTAGCATAAACCATACCCTTTGTCCTGTATGCACATTTAATCTTGATTTAATCTCATTCGTGTTCAGACAAAACTAAGCTGGATTTGCCTGATTTTATTAACACTACCAGTACTGAATAGACCATTATTCTTTCCTGACTTTAACAGGCTGGGCTAGATGTGCATACCAATAGCAGTGTATAAATAATGAAGATACAGTTCTTTTTTGTGTCAGCCAGTTGGTGAACATAAACCGTGTCCCACAGAATTGCAAGGATGAGAGACTTCACTTTGTGTCTGATCAAGGCTCATGGTTATGATAAAAGTTGTGAATTAAAATGTGTAATGTCTTTTGAAGAAAAAGCTTCTCGTTCAGTCTAATTCTTGGCATGAGGTTTTGTTGGAACAACTCAAGCTTTCAATTTAATTCCTTGTCTTCTTAGAAATAGCATGTTTTGTAGTTTCTTTCCACTTTTTTTCAGCATATGAAAGGCTTGGTAGGAGGCAGGTGCCAGTTATGGATGGGGGGGAGTGAGAGGCTGGAGGCAGTGAGGTTCACTGGGGGACACCTCGTCCAGAGTTGGACTGGTGTTGTGGGAGCCTTGTGCCTGACGCCATGTGGCCCCTGCGGTCCTTCCCTGGCTTGTCCGCTGCCAGTGCTGCGCCTGTACCCCCTCTCAGCACTGGGGTCCCAACACACAGGTGCTGACTTCCCATTACCTCCCGGGAGCATTGGATCGAGCTCCCTTAATGCTTGCCTTCCTTATTTCATTTTCGGCTAGGTTTCTTTATCACTGATTGGTTTATTTCCCACCGACCGCGGGCAGCATTAGCTCACCTCTGCTACGGGAGGGCTTTGGTTACGCTGCAGGGGATGTTACCCGATCGCTTCCTCCACCTGGTTTCAGTGGAAAGGATGGCATTGAGTGTCCCCAAGGTAAATTCATTTTACAGCTTTTTCCCCCCCCTCCAGTGGCTTGATTTTATTTATCTTTCTAATATGACTTTGAGGGAACCTCAGAACAGTTACCACCAGATGCTATTTAATTTTCTAGCCCAAAGTTACCATGCAGGAATGCTTCAGTAAAGTGTCATAACTGTAAACTCTTCTAATTTAACCCTCTAATTAGGCTAACTGTACAACTGGTCCCCAAAAATATTTCTTTGCAGGCTTTATTCCATATGCCAGGCTGCGGCGCCGCGATGGAGGAAGCAGCTGGTTTCCGTGTGTGACGCTCCCAGATTAGGATTATAAAAGGGTTTTTTGGGGGTTGGGTCATGCAGTCTCGCCCCCTGGGGTGGTAGTGCCGATATGCCGGGCAGCGCTAAGCAGCCAGACATCTGCGGCAATGGTCTCTAATTGCTCCGGCTGGGCGAAAGAGGTCAGGGGTGATTGTCGTGGCGGAAGAGCCTGTAAGTAACTAATTATTTGGTGCAGGGAGCGGAGCGGGGCTGTGTGCCTGGTTTCCCCGCTTGCTGGCCCGGGGCAGCTGGGCTCCTGTCGCGGGCTGGGTCGGTGCCAACCACAGCGCCTGCTGCCCGCTCCCGCCGGCACCGCCGCCTCACGCCCGCCTTGCCCTTGCAGGGGCTTCTCCCCGGGCTCTGGGCACTGAGGATGGGGACCCTGCCTCTGCCAGGCACCGTGTGTCCCTGCAAGGGGGTGATGCGGGGCACGAGGGCAGGTGGCCCTCAGCAGCAGCTCCGCGCACGGTAACGGCGGATGAAGTGGCGGGGAGGCGCCGTTACACCGAGGCGAGGCGGGGGGGTGCGGAGGTGCCGTTACACCGAGGCGAGGCGGGGGGGCTGTTCCTGCAGCCGGCAGAAGTTCTCGAGGCTGGTGTCGCAGCAGCGTCCCTGGGCTGGGACAAGCAAGCCGTGAGAGCGAGCGTCTATCCGAGCAAGGACTTCTAGGTTTTCGCATTTTTTGGTTTAATAACAAACCAAACACAGGTGGCTCAACCAGGGATCACCTCTCCTTTCCACTTCAGACTGCTTTTTTGGCAAATGTTTCTTTCTTGACACTGTGTCAATGGCAGTGGCTTCTTCCAGGGCAGAGGTAGTTCTTGACTCCCCTCCAGGTTTTCCTCCAGGAAGTAGGGACACAGAGGGAAGCCAGGGAGTCTTTGCACAGAGTACATCCAGTTTATGGCATCTTTGCTTGACTTCAGCCACACCGGGGAGGTCCCTGTGTGTGGCTCTGGCCGTGGCTCTGTGACAAGTGCTGCTTCTTGCCACAATCAGCGTCCCAAGGTATTACCCAGGAGGAGCAGAGCATGCGTGGCTTTTGCTTATGCTGGCCTGAGGACTGTCTATGTGTGCCCTTGGCCATTCTGGGGACCCTTGCAGTCTGCGGTCCCAGCTCTGTGGGTCCCACCTCTCATACTCAGGGCAGCAGGGGAAGTCCTAATTCCCTAAGGGTCATAAAATTACAGTTTATTTTGTGCCCTCAGGCAGCGATTTTAATCTGAGTGTTTTATACTCAGTGTTCAATGGGAGAATGAAAAGACACAGAGGAGGAAATGGGAGGAAAATAGTGAAACTTGTTTCTTTCCTCTGGGTGAACACCTGGATTGCATTGTGCTGCACAGCAGGACCGGCACACACATATGGCATCAGAGGTGATCCTATAGAATTGGAGGTGATCATATATAATGCAAAGCGGAGACAAGACATGGCTAATTCTTCTTTTTCAGTCGGTGTCAGGATATATTCAGAGGAGGATGTTTGACCTTCTGCCATGAAGACATCCTCTGCCCCCTGAATAGGCCTTTGATTTGCAGTCATTTTATTTAGTAATATGTTTTCAGACCTGGTTGTGAGAGGTCCAGCACTGAAGTGTGTGTGGGAAATAGCAAGCATATCCCTGTCCTTAAAGCCAGGGATTCCCAAGGTATGGGCTGGGGTCACCTGTAAATTTTCAGGATATTGAATTAGCTGAACTACATATGCTTCCTTTGCAGACGGAGAGAAGAGTAGCAACAAATGTATGTTCTTACTTATTTTTATTGGCTGTTGCTCACCAAATATACTAATATTTTTAGATTTCCCAGGCTGAGAGTTGGTGGCTAGATAAATCCAGTTTTAGAATGAATTTGTAAACCTAAATTATAAATGGATAGACATGAGAAGACCTTTCCAAGGGAAGTACCAAAATGCACGGTGTCACTAATAGACAGTAAGTACAATCCAGCTTCTTTCCTGAGTAACTCATTGTACAGTCATGTCTGTTGGGCTAGTTTCAGGTAATAGCAACCGTCAGAATTTGGTAACCCTAATTGGCTCAAAAAGGTCATTTATTTGCAATGGTGTTTCATGTAAAAACTGACTACCAGTTTGCTTCCTGGAAAGAAATCCCATCCATGGTGTGTTGTTTGTCTTACCCGATCCTTGAAGTTCTCCGATATGTGATGCATCTGTTGTTGGCATGTTTCATCAAAGTAATAAAGCCTGGCTGGAAAGCTTGCGAGGAGAGAGGTACAAGGGCCACTTTGCTGCAATTAAGTGGAAACTTGGCTCACACCGTGAGCACACTCCCAGACATCCGTAAAGAAATCACTAATGTCAACAGGGATGTTTTATGTGGTGGTCTTCCCATCTGTGTGGCTAAATTGCTGGGTGGTTATTTTATAATTACTTTGGGTGGTAGAAGGTAGGTCACTTGGGCAGATCCCAGGTGAGGAAACACATCAGAGACCTGCTCTGTCCACGAGCAGCGTGGCCGAGTCCGGCCCCGCTGAGGAGCAGGGGGGATTTCAGTACGAGGCTTCCCTCCATGAGAGCAGGACCCGACCCATCATCTCTGTCCTTCAGAGCTGATGGTGCAGGGCTGCTGCTTCCTTGCTGCACTGGATGTAGTGGTGGTCTTGGAGGTCCCTGAGGAGCGATGGGCGAGCGCAGCGGAGCAATGCCAGCAGTCGTGGCAATGCCAGCACTGGGCACCATGCCGCTGTGGCAGGAGTGGCCGCGCCTGAGCTGCCGGCAACGCGGTGGCCGTAGGTGTCTGCACCTCGGAGAGCTGATGAATTGTCAGTACTTGAAAAATTATAGGGGTGCTGTCTGTGTGTGTATACAGGTATAAACACATTTGGGAAAGTTAATTGATTTAGTAATACGGGAAAGTAGTTCAAAATGAACTGGTTAATAAAGTAGTTGGTAACCAGAGAAAGGAGTTGTGGAGTTTGGGTTTTTTTGGGTTGGGTTGGGTTTTTATGTTTATTTGGTTGGGTTTTTTGTTTTGTTTTGCTTTGCTTTGCTTTGTTTTTTAAAGCAGATAAATTTCAGCTGTAAGAGTTTATAATCCAAATCAGTGGATTTGGGGAGCCATTGAGAGTAAAGAGAGCTTTGATGATTTGGCAAGGAATACATTGTCTAAGGCAGCACTTTGATCTGCGTTTTAAATGCCTCTTTGTAATGACAGTTTCACAATTTCTTTTCTCGTTTTAAGTCAGTTTTGCAGAGGTATGTTTCTAGAGAAAATAGTAACAGCACACATTATTCTTGCTGGTTTAGGAGCCAGCTAGAACTTGTAGTTCATCCCAGATCTTTTGCCTACTATGGTAATTTTATGATTACACCAAAAAGGAAATTAGTAGAGATGTTAAATATTATCAAAGCTTTGCAAATCTTTTGAAATATCTCCAGTGTGAAACCTAAAATTGCATTAGCATTTTTGTTGTGGTATGTTGTACAGTGTTTACCTAAGTATCCACCTAGGATTGCAAGTTCCTGATTTTTTTTTTTTTTTCCTTCCAAAGGACACATTACTGTTTAGCACATGCATCCTTTATTCTGGCTGAAGACCTTGATTCTAGTGACTTGATTCTAGCTCCCTAAAGACAACCCGCTGCAGTGATGCTATTGGCAAGCTCCCTAAAGACAACCCGCTGCAGTGATGCTATTGGGAACCTTTTTCTACCCCTTCTGTCTACAGCACAGATAAACTCTCGGAGGGAGGAGGTTGTTGTCACCTACGTGTTCTTGTACAAGACAGCTTGCTGCGTTACTTTATGTAGTATGGGTAGAGTAGGAGAGAGAGTAGGAATTGGGAATTTTTATTAAGGTTTTCCTTTAAATCTTGCATAGCATCTTTCCTTCCTGCAACTAGTATGGGGCAGAGTTTATACCTCTCTTGGAAAATCGGCAGCCTTAAGGGACAAATAGGCAGGTTTTTCCAAATTGATTTAGGACTGTGTGGTAGCTCTTCAAGTGCTGTTTGTGACCTCTGCTGAGCTGTAACTCTAAGCTGTACCTGGCTGGCAGTTCTGTGCTTGTGGACCAGGTTCAGCTGGTGTGCAGAAGAGGGCACACGTCATGTGCAAGCTAAATTAACCCGTTAGGTTGGGTCGGCAGTGACGTGTACAGGGTAGCATCACAGGAAGGCCTTAGGCAAATAGCATCATGTATACATTTAACTTGCAACCTTTTCCAAAATGTCAGTGACTTTGTTCAGTTGGACTTTACCACTATTATTCTGCACATCTCTGTGGTACGGGATGCTGAAGTGAAGCGTGTGAGGCTGCGTGGCTGTGACACTTGTAAATTCAGCCGTTACACTCAGAGATGCTACGACCAATGCACGGATGCATACTCCAGGCTCAGGTTGGCACCAAGTCCCCCTTCACCTTTAGATTTTTTTTTTTCAATTTGATCGTAGTTTATTTCACTGCATATAGCAAGATAATATTGCTATGGTTGTAATCGATACGGTATCTCCTTTTTTTCTCCAAGTATTCAGGCTTCCAATTTCTCCTTGATAAAAGGCTAGGCTTATGTTCCATGTAGAAGAGGGTGTGGTTTTCTCTGTGTGTGGTGTGTGCTAGTGTTGTCACAGGTGGTACATAAAGATACCTGGCACATCCTTTGAAACTTGCCTCACAGGTTCTCGGTGGATGGCCACAGTGCTTTTGAATGGTTCACACATTTGTTTTCGGTGTATTCAGTCTCACACATACCTCTAATGAAATGCCTCAGACTGGCTAATTTTTTGCTTGTGGTATATGTTCAAAAGTGTGCGTTTAGAAAGGCAAGTGCTTTTGCACGTGGCAGTTCTCTGCTTGGTTGAGGAGACCCTGCTTGTGCCTGTGGTGGTTTGCTGGCCTGAGGTGTGCGCACTCAGCAGCGGCAATAGGATTCTCCGCGTTTGCAGACTTGGCCCAAGCAACCCAGCAAAGCATAATTTAGCCTCAGAGTGAAAGTAGATTGACCACCAGGCTTGGAGCATACCAAGAATGGAAAGAGGTCCTTGCACAAAAATCAATAGTATCTGCAGGATATGGTGTGGGGATTTTTTCTCTTCAGTCCAATATGTTAAGTAGCTGGTTTGTTACTCTAACCCCCTACAAATGTTTGTCAGTAATAATTTTGTAAAACTATGAATCAACTCTGCATGACTTTGTGCAAATAGACTGAGTAAT